GGGTTTTTTTTTTTTTTTTTTTTTTTTTTTTTATCCTCATCTGAGGATATGTGGATATGTTTATTGATTTTAGAGAGAGACAGGGAAAGAAAGAGAAACATCTATTTGTTGCCTCCACAAGGGCCCTGACCAGAGGGAACCTGACAGGACCAAACCTGCAACTTAGGTGTATGCCCTGACTGGGAATCAAACCGTGACCTTTCAGTGTATGGGAGGAAGCTCCAGCCAGCTGAGCCACACCGGCCAGGGCCAGAGCTTTGTTTTTTATTGCTATTTTCATTAGACAACATCCATTAAGTGATTACCCAGTTATTAAGAGAAGAATAGTCATTATGGTATCATATTTCTTCTAAGCACACCTTACTTTGTGACTGAATCTGGACCTATTAAGCTGTTTATAGAGGTTATACTTATGAAATGACTTCTATTCACATCTTATCCATTATAAGCATTTGCTCAGTTCTACTCAGGTTTGTGGAAAGATGGATTAACACTTCATTTAGATATGTGCTGCCATCTTTGAATTTTTAAAAAATATATATATGTATACCTTTCTTTTAATTTTAGAGAGAGGGAGGAAGACAGAGAGAGAGAAACATGGATGAGAAAGAAACATCTATGGGCTGCCTCCTGCGCGCCCCCTACTGGAGATGGAGCTGGTGACCTCTTGGTTCATGCGTGGTCGCTCAACCACTGAGCCCCACAGGCTGGGCAGGACAATGTGTTCTTATTTCAAAGAGGCAATTGACTCCTTTTGCACCATTTATTTGTGAACCTATATCGCCATCTGAGAGTTTTGGCTTTTGTTTAGAAATTCACCTTACGGTTTTTGCTTATCCTCTTGTTAGTGGTGGAAAATGTCACCAGGTGTTAGACCTCGGTTAGCAACCTCAGTTCTTGAATTCTGGCTGAGAAGAATTCAGAGCCAAGACTCAAATTATAAGAGAAGGTTTATTTAGAAAGTCACAGAGGTAGAAGTGAGCCATAGAAGACATGGATTCAGGAAACAAGTTACAGCAAAACAAGGGCCCTTGGAGCTTAGGGATAGGGGCAGGGAGAGATAGATACACCTTGAGAAACATAAGCGGGAGGAGAGGTTGGGGCGTGCTGGGGGGGATGGGAATTAGCATGCCCTAGGGAAAGAAGAGGGTGTGGGGAAAGGCATGGGCATGGGCATGGTTCATAGAGAGAGCCTCCAGAAATTTATTTCTCATAGTTCTGGAGGGTAGAAATCTCAGATCAGTGTGCTAACATGGTCAGGTTCTGGTGAGAACCCTCTTCTGGGTTGCTGATGGCAGTTTTCTCCTTATATGGAAGAGAGGGCAAAATAACTCTCTGGGGTCTCTTTTATAAAGGTGCTAGTCCCATTCATGAGGGCTCTCCATGACCTAATCACCTCCCCAAAGGCCCCACTTCCTAATACTATCACATTTGGGGTTAGGATTTCACCATATGAATTGGAGGGGAGGACACAAACATTCAGTCCATAACAACCACCATATCATTAACATGCCATGCCCAAATGAACAGTAATACATAATCTTATCTAATAAACAGCACATATGCACCAATTGTCCCAAAAATGTCTTTTATGGTTTGTTTGTTTGGTTCCTCATCTTCTTACTACCGAGAACCCATCTTATATTTTTCCTCTCGTATGGATGATANTGTTTGGTTCCTCATCTTCTTACTACCGAGAACCCATCTTATATTTTTCCTCTCGTATGGACGATATATTTAAAATATTTTGTCTCTCTAATCTTTTATTAAGTAATATCTCTTATTAAGACAGTGATATGCACGAGTATAGTAGAGTGTTCCCATTGTGATAAGATTCTAGTCAAAGAATGAAATTTTATTTTTATTAGCATTTATTGAGGATAATTGTATGATTACTTTAGGCTTTTTGAAATATTAAAAATTGCTTTCTCATTGTAGCTTTGTATACCCTATTGGGAATCAGTGCTTCAGTGCTAAAAGGTTATCTTAATATTTTTTTTCTTTTGGTGGAGGTTGGGTTGGCAAAGAGATTGATGGTGTGCGTATACATTTGCTCAGTCTGTTGCACAGTCTCATGATTTGAGATGCCTACTCTTTCTCAGAAAGACCCTGCAGCCTGCTGGAATTAACATCCTTTTCCTGATTACACATCCTGCTGCAGAGAAGGATAAGAATAAGGGTGTGTGCCAAGCAGTGACTATTGGCTCCTTCTCAAGGACTTTTGCTGTTAACTTCTTTTGTGCAAATAAAAACAATTTGGTCATGCATGAGACTTCTACAACAATAAATAATAGTATTTATTGCCTATGCATATGTGTATTTTGATCTAAATGAAGATGAAAAATGCCCAGAAAGAAATCTTTCAGGCCTTTATATTTGGAAATGTGAAGTGTATTTGGAAGTGTAATTTTTATTTGTAGGTTTGTATTTGATAACTCAGGAGAATGTTATATTATAGAGCTTATTATAAAGCTTATTTAGTGCGGAAGTAAGTCTTTGACAGTGTTCTTGTGTTTCAGAAGAAAAAAAATTTTTACTGAAACCAGAATTCAATCTTTAAAAAGTTCTGGTAGTTTTGAATACTTTAATATGGATATTCTGAGGCTGTTGGTTAATGTTGACTCAAAAATGAGAGGCCAGTCTCATTGGCATGGCTCAGGGGTTGAGCATTGAGCTATGATCCAGGAGATCGAGGTTTGGTTCCCAGTCAGGGCACATGCCCAGGTTTCGGTCTTGATCCCCAATGGGAGGCGTGCAGGAGGCAGCCAATCAATGACACTCTTATAATTGATGTTTCTTTTTTTCTCTCTCCTTCTCCCTTCCTCTCTCTGAAATCAATAAAGATATATTAAAAAAAAGTTAGAGGGCAAAAGACATAAAAAAGAATAACTTTTTTTGTCCTTTTATAGGTAAAGGGAGAAGATGAGGAAGAGAACAATTTGGAAGTACGAGAAACCAAAATTAAGGGTAAAAGGTAAGCTAATGAGTAGTCAGAATATCTATATCTATATTTGCCTCTTCTTGTTATAGATTATCATATAAGGGTTAGTAGAATCATAAGCTAGGAGAGTTATTTAGGAAGTGCCTGGTATATTAGGAGCTGTTTCAATTAATATAGTGTGTGGTAACAAACAACTGGCTGTAATATATTTTGGACCCATTTATGAGTTTTTTCCTGATAACTTGCTAAAATTGGATTCCCCTAACAGTGGCAGTTTATTTTACAACAGGAAAGTAGTTACTTTCCATCCCAGGTCTCTCTAATCTATCCCCAACCAATAGATGGGGAACCAGTGTGAACTCCAAGCTATTTGCCTCAGCAGATATCCTCTCATCAATGGCTGGCTACTATCCTGTTTTGAGGGGGCAGACAGCACCCCGTAGTTCCCACTTTCAAGATTTCAGGGCATGGAAAGTGATGCTTCTTTGAAGGAAGTAGACTGAGCTCTATAAATGTTAAGATTGGCCTTGTTCTCTGCTTTAACCTCAGCACAGCCTGGGCCCTGGCACTTACTAATTATTTATATTAAAACACTTTATTAAGGATATTTTTCAAATACGTATAAAAAGCACAATGAATTATATAAAGAACCCATATATATTCCTTCACCCAGTTTCAATGATCAGTATTTTGCATGGCGTGTATTAGGCACTGAAATATTTGCTGAATGAATGTTGTGGGGAGAAGAGATGTATTTAGCTCAGTGATTCTTACTGGAGTAAACATCCTATTATAGGATGTTTACTCCAGGACAGGTACACCCTCCCAACAAAGAATTATCCATCCCAAAATGTCAAAAACCCTGCTTTAGTTTATGTTAGAGTTTATCATAGGAACAGAGAAAAAAATTGGTTCTTGTGCTCTCCCTCTCCAGAGCACGTGTATCTTTCCCTTCCCTCTCTGTTTCCCCCCAAGCTCATTACCTTTGCCTTTCCCTCCCCTAAGCTCCAAGGGCCTTTCTTTTGCTTCTGTAACTTGTTTCCTGGCCTACGCAGCCCATCTGGCTCACTTCTTACTACCTCTATAACTTTCTAAATGAACTTTCTCTTACAATTTGGAAAAAATAAAATTAGTTCTTTTTCTTTTTAATCCTCACCTGAGGATATTTTATCTTTTATTTTTATTGATTTTTAGAGAGGGAGGGAAAGGGAGAGAGAGAAGCATCGATGTGAGAAAGAAACATAGATCAGGAGGTATGTACCCTGACCGGGGAACCCCCAAACCTGGGTATGTGCCCTGACTGGGAATGAACTGGTGACCCTGTGGTGCACAGGGCGATATTCCAACCAACTGAGCCACACTGGCCAGGACGAGGATATGTTTTTTTCATTGATTTTAGAGAGAGAGGAAGGGGGAGAGAGTGAGAAAAAAACTTTGATCCATTGCCTCCTGTATGCACCCCAACTGGGGATCGAACCTTAAGCCCAGGTATGTGCCCTGACCAGGAATTGAACCCACAACCTTTTGGTATACAGGACTACACTCCAGCAAACTGGGCCCCCTGGCCAAGGCAAAAAATTTGGTTCTTGACCATCAAATAATTGTGCCTTACAACAGTCAGTCCCCATGTGATTTGGCAAATGTTAAACTGGACCTCCATGCTTGGTAGAATTTTAAAAACTTTTTCTCATTTATTTTGAATTTTTAAAAAATAATGAGAATCTGACCCAACAGTAACTCTTATCTTAATGCATATGTTCGTACATGTATGATTTTACATATGGGTATAAATGAGATCATATTTAAGTTTGTTATTTTATATAAAGCTTAACAGCAACATTAAACAAGTCCCATAACCCTAGCATGACAACTTACATATTTTTGTTCTGGACTGTGCCCACTTGCAGATATATTTTACATAGTTTCAATTACTGTGTGACCCTACTTTTTAACCCCCCCCCACTTACATAACATTTCCTGTTTTCTGTGTGATCTTCATAGTTTCCTTTTATTACATGTAATCTTCCTTGAGTTGCTTTGATTTTATGTACAAAAATATATGAGGAGCCAAATTATAACACATGATTACCTTGATTTTTCTATTGTATTCTCAGAATGTGTAAAATGGGCATCTTCACCAGCCCTGCACATGCCAGATCTGAGTTAGCCTTAAATAAATTTCTATTAAACCCTCTTCCCCTTGTTAATATTTCAGAGACTCCTCTCCCTCTGTGGCTGTTTGAGGACCCTGTCTGTGCTTACTGGCTGTGACTCATGGCCTGTAGCACATATCTTAGAGGGGCAGGATGGCATAGTTGTTATGAGTGTGGTCTTCTATCTCTGTTACTACTAATTGGCTGTGTGTCCTTGGGAAGCTGAAGAATACTTTCCTCCTCAGTAAAGTAATAATGTCTACCTCATATGATCATGGTTAAGATTCACTAAATACATAAAGTGTACTTGGAACCTGGTACATAGTAAGTGCTCAATAAATTTTGAGTTAATCACCGAGAGAGCTAACCAATGAGAAGGAGCATTCCAGGCAGAGACATTGTAAAGACACAGAGGTTTGACATTTCATGGTGTAAAGTTTAGTTAACTGGGCCGTCAGAGTGGCTGGAACTCAGGGGAAGGTGTAAAGAGAGCTGAGGTCAGTTTAAGGAGTGCTTTGTATACTATTTTTAGGGTTGTGGACTTTGCCCTTTAGTTATTTGGGAATATTTAAAAACTTTTTTAACAGTAGACTGTTTTATTCCTAATTCTGAGTGCATACGTTACATAGATTTGTCTTTATTACTCTTCCTGCCACAGAAACTGACACTGGGTTTTCAGTAAATCTTTTTCAGTAAATGAGTAATGACTTTATTTTACCCAACAAAACCAGGTCCTTCACAGAATGTTCTTCCATTAGGTCCAGCAGAAGAAGAGCTACAGAAAAAAAAAAGTCTGCCTCTTAGATATCAGTATACGCAGCTCTGTGTGGTCTGTCTAGCCTTCTATCAATCAGAAACCTTCATTAGCTTTTGCACATTTCAATAAGATTTGATGTTCATAATGATGACCCAGGAGCACTGAATGGTTATGAAGTATCTCCTGAATCATCAAATTGAGATTCAATTATGTCGGGAATATTTAACATGAAAATTAATATTATGTTGGTGGACTGGAGGGAGTTAGAGATTAGGAGATTAATTAGGACAAAATGCAATAATCTAGGCAAGAGATGAAGGTTTGAATTGAGGAGGCAATGGAAAACCTGGAAGGGATGGATTTGAGAGACATTCTAAGGTAGGATAAACCCAATATTCTGTAATGGGTATAGGGTAGTGTGAAGCATCAAAAAATGCCTGACATTTCTAGTTTAGAGTTGGTTAGGTGGTATCAGTATTAATAGAGAGAGGGAATTGGGATCATGAATGACATTAGATATTGGATATGTTGAATTTTCTGTGAGCTGGTCAGTGGAGTTGTATAGCGAACGTTTGAAAATTTGAGTTTAGAGCTCAGGACAGAGAATGGGATGAGAAGCAGATTTGGGACTTGAGACCAAGAATTGGTTAAGACTGTTTTGGAGAAGGTATAGGGCTTTTTATATTTTGAGTAGGTATTTCAGAGTAGTGTTATGAAGTTTAAAGGTGGAACTGATGAAGACCTTTAAGAACTCTCTAAATACCATGGAAGCATGTTAAAATGCCTTTAGTTTTTCACTAACGGCTTCTGGGTCTATGAAGAATTGGTCTCCTGGCATAATAAAGTCAGATTCATTTTTTGAGTTAATACTCTATATGAATTTTAGTAGTTTCCAGACCATCTCTTTTTCTTTAAAATGCTAGTAGTTTTGTTTCTTTCTGTTTATGAGAGTGATACAAGCTTATTATAAAACAAATTGGGGAAAAACAACAAAATGTAGCTTATCCTCCTACCCTGAAGACAGTTACCGTTAAACATTGTGTGGAACATTTATTAAAATACTTTCTTCACATACATATGTGTATATATTTAAAATTTTTTTTTAATTGATTTCAGAGAGAGGAAGGGAGACGGAGAGAGAGAGAAATAATCAGTGATGAGAAAGAATCATCAGTCGGCGGTCTCCTGCATGCCCCCTTCTGGGGATCAAGCCCACAACCCAGGCATATGCCCTGACTGGAAATTGAACCATGACCTAGTTCATGGGGTGACACTCAACCACTGAGACACACCAGCCAAGCTGTATATATATATTTAAAAGGAATCATACCGTATCTTTTGTAAACTGATTTGTTATTTACATTGTACATGGAAGTGTTTAATATAGATAGATCTAAGTGTCTTTTTGTAGTGGTTACTAATATTCCATTGTGTGGCTCTCTACTGGAATTTTTTTTAGTTGTTATCCTATTGTTGGACATTTAGGTTATTTTACACTCTTTTACTACTATAAACAACCTTGAGGTGAACATCCAGGTATTTATCTTAAAAGGTTTTAATTAAGAGGTTAAAGGTGATCTTTTAAAGATAACTGCTTTCATCTTGGGTACAAAATTTTGCTGTGACTTTGAATTCCTAGCTGTTTTTAATTTCCTTAATTCTCTTGCTTCATTTTTCCTGCAGTGGGAGATTCTTCATGGTCAAGCTCCCAGTTGCTCTCGATCCTGGGATGAAGATTTCAGTCATTTTGGAAACAGTCTATACCCATGTGCTTCAGCCATATCCAACCCAGATCACTCAATCAGAGAAACAGTTTGTGGTGTTTGAGGGCAACCATTATTTCTACTCTCCCTATCCAACAAAGACACAAACTATGCGTGTGAAGCTTGCCTCTCGAAATGTGGAGAGCTACACCAAGTTGGGGAACCCCACACGATCTGAGGACATTTTGGATTACGGACCTTTCAGAGATGTCCCTGCTTATAGTCAGGTAGGCTCATATGGAATCTAGCCCATCCTTGTCTACTGTAGTCAAGGTCTTCTAGAGTGACTACTAGTTAATAAGGTTGGGGGGTATGGGGTGGGTGGAAATCCAAGATCACCCTTCAGTTTTTTAACCCGCTGTGGAATGACTCCCTGGGATCACTGTTCTCTTGGGAGTACAGACAGAGACTGTGAGTTTAGAGGCTGTGAGTTTAGGAAGTATTAGGAGATAGCATTTGGAGAGTTGGAGTGTGAGTTGGGAGAGAAGAAATCAAGTCATTCTGGGCAGAGGCAATAAGAGGGCTGAAGGCCTGAGGATAAGAAAATGGATGGGAGCCCTGGCTGGGTGGCTCAGTTGGTTGGAGTGTGGTCATGTACACTGAGAAGTTGTGGGTTTTATCCCTGGTCAGGGCGCATACAGGAGGCAGCCAATTGATGCCTCCCCACCCCCCCAAATGTGTCCTTGGGTGAAGATTGAAAAAACAAACAGATGGGAAAATGTGGGGTGTGCCATCTAGTGTGGTCGAAGTTGCTGCTGTCAGTAGTAAAGCTGGCTGCATTGCTGAGCCTAGGGGTTGGGCCTTAAAGGTAGAGGGAGCAATTAAGGCTTAAAAAAGATTTTTTTATGAAAAATTACAAGCATATGTAAAAGTATAGACAATAGTATAACAGACTCCCATACACCCATCACTTAGATTCAGTGGTAATCAAGATATTAGGACACTCGCTTCAGCTGTCCCTTTTTTCTTTGCTGTAATAATTTAAAGCACATCTTGCCAGAATTTTTCTTTACTTACAATTTAAGATTTATTTATTTTAAAACTGTAAAAATTATTTTAAAAAGCAATTTAAAAAGTTCATTGTAGAAATTTGGAAAAAAACAAGTATAAGTAGAGAATTGACGGGGACTTCCAGACAAGATGGAGAGTAGGTAAATGCTATGCTCATCTTCTCCCACAACCACATCAAAATTAAACCACTTGAAGACTAACTGAACAGAACACCAATAACTAAGGATATAAAGAAGAATCCACGTTGAGAGTGGTAAGAGAAGGGCTGAGACTTGAAATGGGCTGGTCTCTCATGTGTGGTGGTTAAGATTTGGGTGGTTTAGATTTGAGGTGGTTAAGACTGGGGAGCTGTTGAGGTCCCTTCTGAGGATTAAGGGCTCCCAACCCCATACTGGGCTTCTCAGCCTGGACCACCAGTGCTGGAAAGAGGATTCCCCACAACATCTGGCTGTGGAAATCATCAGGGATTCTGTCCAGGTGAGACCGAGGACTTATTGGCTGGTGGACTCACTGATTCTGAACACCAGTGCAGGGGCAGCAGCTTAAAAAGTGCCAGGGACATATGGAGAGGAACGGAATTGTCTGTCTTTAGGGTGAGGGCTGGATGGAAAGCTTTGGCTGGGGCAGAAATGCTGGCAGGTGCCATTTTTCTTTTGTTGAATCCCTCCTTCACCCAGTTGGCAGGTACAAGCAGGTGCCAAATGTGAGTCTGTCAAACTCACTGCATCCCGGTGATTCCCTGAAAACCTGGCCCATACAACAAGGGCACAGGCCAGAACCTCTCAGTGGCTGTTACTCACAAGCAGCTGGCCTGCTGCAGACTTCCTTAAAATCTCTGAAAGATCCATAAACTGCAAACAAACAGCTGGTCTCAGCATGCCCTATACCTCTTACTAAGTGACCCCAGCTACCAGTAGTGGCTTGGTTTGCAGCATAGCCTCTTCCTGGCATCTCCAAGCCCAGGATAGGCAGCTACCAACCTCAGATTACTTTGTAGCTCCTACCAGGTGTCCCTAGGCTAGGCACAGGCAGGGAATGACCTGGGCCTGCACTGGAACCTCTCCCAAGAGGCCCCAGAAGTAATATACCCAGTAGAGCAAAACTCTGTGGGGTTTCCCCCCCATAAGCCTTGTCTATTGCAGTCATGGCCAGTCCTGACAGCCAGTCTGCTTGAGGGTCAGTCCCACTCACTGATGTGCCAACAACAATCAAGACTCAACTGTAGCAGGAGGGCTCATACCACTCACACAAGGGATGTACCAGGAGCACCCTGTTCAGGTGACCAAGGAGACTGCACCACTGGGATCCACAGGACACCTACTACATAAGATCACCTTTCCAAGACTGGGAGATGTAGCAGATCTACCTTAGTCATGGAAACAAACACAGAGAAGAGGCCAGAATGAGACAAACATGTCCAAAATAGAAGAACAAGACAAAACTTCAGAAAAAGAACTAAATGAAATGGAGGCAAACAATCTACCAGATACAGAGTTCAAAACACTGGTTATAAGAATGCTCAGTAAACTTAGGGGAAGAATAGATGAACTCAGTGAGAACTTACACAAGGAATTAGAAACCATAAAAAAGAACCAGTCAGAAATGAAGAATACATTACATGGAATCAAAAGCAGATAAGACAAAGCAGAGGATGGGATCAGTGACTTGGAAAACATGGTAGTGGAAAATAACCAGTTGGAACAATGAAAATAAAAATATTTTTAAAAAAGGATCCGTTGTCTTGGCTGGGTAGCTCAGTTGGTTAGAGCGTCTTCCTGATAAAACAAGGTTGTGGGTTCGATGCCTGGTCAGGGCACATACAAGAATCAACCAATGAATGCATAAATCAGTGGAACAACAAATCCATGTTTCTCTGTCACTTTCCTCCTTCCTCTTTCTCTAAAATTAATTTTAAAAAATGAGGATATGCCCTGGCCAGTGTGGCTAAGTTGGTTAGAGAGTCATCCTGTACACCAGAAGGTCATGAATTCGATTCCTGGTCAGGGCACATACCTAGGTTGCCAGTTTGATCCTTGGTCGGAGTGTATATATTTGAATCTCCCTCTCTCTAAAATCAGTAAACATATCCTTGGGTGAGGATTAAAAAAAATGAGGATAGTTTAAGCGACCTTTGGGACAAATTAAGCATAACAATGTCCGCATTATAGGCATACTGGAAGGAGACGAACAAGAGCAAGTAATTGAAAACTATTCGAAGAAATAATAACAGAAAACTTTCCTAACCTGGCAAAGGAAATAGACATACAAGGCCAGTAAGTGCCAATAGCCCCAAATAAGATGAATCAACCTAAAGAGGCCCACACCAAGACACATCATAAATCACCCATTAAATTGGTAAAGACAAGGAGAGAATCTTAAAAGCAGCAAAAGAAAAGCAGTTAGTTACATACAAGGGAGCTCTCATAAGAGTGTCAGCTGATTTATCAACAGAAACTGCAGGCCAGAAGGGAGTGGCAAGAAATATTCAAAGTGATGAAAAGCAAGGACCTAAAGCCAAGATTACTCTAGCCAGCAAAGCTATCATTTAGAATTAAGGTCATATAAAGAGCTTCTCATACAAGGAAAAGCTAAAGGAGTTCATCATCACTAAACCAGTATTATAAGAAATGTTAAAGGGACTTCCTGAAGAATAGGAGGAAGAAGAGGGGCAGAAGGGATAAAAAATATGAATAGTAAAATGGCAATAACTACATACCTGTCGATATACTTTAAATGTAAAGAGGTCATATGCTCCAATCAAAAGACAGGGTAGGATGGCTAAATGGGTAAAAAAACAACCCATATGTATGCTGCCTACAAGAGACCCACTTCAGATGGAAAGACACACGCAGACTGAAAGGAAAGAGATAGAAAATATTTTATGCAAATAGAAATAAAAAGAAAGTTGGGACAACAATACCTATATCAGACAAAGTAGACTTTAAAACAAAGGATAAGAAGAGACAAAGGAGGACATTTCATAATGATAAAGGGATCGATATAAATCATTTACGCACCCAGTGTAACAGTGCCTAATTATATAAAGCTAATGTTGATGTATTTAAAGGAAGAGATGACAGGAATACAGTCATAGTAGTGGACTTTAGCACCCCATTGACATCAATCGATAGATCTTCCACACAGAAAACAAGGAAATGGTGGCCTTAGGTGACATATTAGATCAGATGGATTTAATTGATATATTTTGAACATTTTATCCCAAAGCAGCAGAATATACATATTTTTCAAGCTCACATGGAACATTTTTCAGGATAGACCACATATTAGGGTACAAAACAAGTCTTTTTTTAAAAACTTGTTTTTATTGATTTTAGAGAGAGGAAGGGTGAGGGAGAGAGAGAGAAACATCGATTGGCTGCCTCCTGCGCACCCCCTATTGGGGATCGAGCCTGCAACCAGGGCATGTGCCCTGACTAGGAATCAAACCAGTGACCTTTCTGTTCATGGGATGACTCTCAACCAACTGAGCCACTCCGGCTACGACAAGTCTTAATAAATTGAAGAAGATTGAAATGATGCCAAGCATCTTGTTTGGTTCATGGTATGAAACTGGAAATCATTGCACACAAAAAATACTGAAAAAAATCTCAACACACAGAGGCTACACAACATGCCAATAAACAGTGAACGGGTTAACAATATAATTAAGGTAGAAATCAGAAGATACCTTGAGACAAATGGTAATGAAAATATGAACCATAATCTATGAGACACAGCCAAAGCAGTTCTGTGAGGGAAATTCACAGTATTTGAGGCAGATCTCAAGAAACAAGAAAAATCTCAAATAATCTAACAACAAAAGGAACCTGAAAAAGAAGAACAAACAAAGCCCAAAGGGAGTAAAAGGAAGGAAATAATTAAGGTCAGTGTGGAAATAAACGAAATAGACTCCAAAAATATATAAAATGCAGTGAAACCAAGAGTGGCTCTTTGGAAAGATAAAAAAACCAAAAACTAAACAAAACAAAAAACCCACACTAAACCTTTAACCATACTCATCAAGAAGAAAAGATAAATAAAATCAGGAGTGAAAGAAGTGACAGCTGACACCACAGAAGTACAAAGGATTGTAAGACAATGTCACGGACAATTGTATGCCAACAAATTGGACAACCTGGAAGAAATGGATACATTTCTAGAAACATACTATCTTCCAAAAGAATGAATCAGGAAGAAATGAAAATCTGAATAGACTGATAACTACTAATGAAATTGAATCAATTATCAAAAAACTCCCAACAAACAAAAAAAATCCTGTATTGGATGGCTTAACATGGCTTCACAGGTGAATTTTACCAAACATTCAAAGAAGAATTATGTATCCTTCTTAAGCTATTTCCACAAATTTAAGAGGAGGGAAGGCTTCCAGGCTCATTTTATGAGGCCAGCATTACCCTGATTCCAAAACCAGGTAAAGACATTACAGAAGGAAGAAAAAAAGAAAATTATAGGCCAGTATCCCTGATGAGCTTAGGTGCAAAACTCTTCAACAAAATAATAACAATCTGAATTCAGCAATACATTAAAAAGGTCATATACCCATGACCAAATAGGATTCATTTCTGGGATACAAGATTGGCTAAATATCCACAAATAGTTAACATTATACACCACATAAACAGAATCAATGATGAAAACTATATCACATCAATAGATACAAAAAAGCATTTTTACAAAATCTGTCATCCGTTTATAAAATCCTTAAGCAAAGTGTGAATAGAGGGAACATACCTCAACACAATAAAGGCCATATGTGAAAAACCCACATCATATGTCATACTCTATGGTGAAAAGCTAAAAGCATTTTCCTTAAGATCAGGAACAAGACAAGGATGTCTGCTTTCCCCACTTATATGCAATATAGTTTTGGAAGTCCTGGACTCAGAGAATTATAAGACATTGAAGAAAGAAGTTGAAGAAGATAAAATTAAATGGAAGCATAAATGTGGTTGAACTGTTTTAAAATGGTCAAAGTGTTCATACTACCTAAAGCAATGTGTCAGTTCAACACAGTCTCTATCAAAATACCAATGACACTTTTCACAGAACTAGAATAAAGAATCCTAAAATGTATATGGAACCACAAAAGACCCCAATAGCCAAAGCAATCTTGAGAAAGAACAAAGTTGGAAGTACCTGATATCAAACTATACTACAAGGCTGTAGTAATCAACAGCATTCTACTGGCATAAAACCAGACACCTAGATCATTGGAACAAAATTGAAAGCCCAGAAATAAACCCAAGCCTATATGGTCAATTAACCTATGGACAAAGGAGGCAAGAATGTACAATGGGTAAAGATAGTCTCTAATAAATGGTGTTTTCCCAACACCNAGGAGGCAAGAATGTACAATGGGTAAAGATAGTCTCTAATAAATGGTGTTGGGAAAACTGGACAGATACATGCAANCAGAAATAAACCCAAGCCTATATGGTCAATTAACCTATGGACAAAGGAGGCAAGAATGTACAATGGGTAAAGATAGTCTCTAATAAATGGTGTTTTCCCAACACCAAAAAATGAAACTAGACCACTTTCTTATACCATATACAAGAATAAACTCAAAATGGATTAAAGACCTAAAGATAAGACTCAAAATCATAAAACTCCCAGAAAGAAATAGGCAGTGAACTCTGACATTGCTCTTAGTACTATTTTTTTTGGCTATGTCTCCTTGGGCAAGGGAAACAAAATTAGAAACAAACAAATGGGACTAGATCAAACTAAATGATGGGGAGAGGGACTGGGGAGAGGGATGGGACGGGGTGGAATGGGTCATTGGGGAGAAAAAGGGACATCTGTAATATTTTAAACAAAAATAAAATTAAAAAAAAAAGTTTTTGCACAGCAAAGGAAACCGTCAACAAAACAAAAAGACAACCTATTGAATGGGAGAGGATATTTGCCAATGATTCATTTGATAAGGGGTTAATATCTAAAATATATAAGGAACTCGTGTAACTTAATCCTCTGAAAAACAATCAATCTGTAACAAATGGGCAGAAGACCTGAATAGCGATTTCTCCAAAGAGGCATATATGTCTATTGGCCAGTAGACAGGAAAAGATGCTCAGTATCATTAATCATCAGAGAAATGCAAATTAAAACCACACCTGTCAGAACGGGCATCAATAAATCAACAAACAGTAAATGTTGGTGAAAGTGTGGAGAAAAGAAAACCCCCATGCTTTTTGGCCTGATTGCAAGTTGGTGCAGCCATTACAAAAAACAGTATGGACGTTCCTCAAAAAATTAAAAACAGGGCTGCCATATGACCCACTAATCCCACTTCTGGGTATATATCCAAAGAAATCTAAAACACTAATTTAAATATATATTTGCATCCTTGTGTTCATTGCAACATTATTTACAATAGCTGAAATATGGAAGCAACCAACGTGTCCATCTAGTGACGATTGGATAAAGGAAATGTGGTGCATACATGCAATGGTGTATTACTTGGCCATGTGAAACAGTGAATCTTACCATCTGAGACAACATGGATTGAACTAGAAGGTATTATGTTGAGTGAAATAAGTCAAAGAAAAACAGATACCATATGATTTTACTTATATGTGGAATCTAAAAAACAAAACAAACGAACAAAACAGAAACAAACTCAGATGCAGAGAACAAACTGATGGTTGCAAGGTGGGAGGGGGGCTGTGTGAAAAAGGGGGAGGGATTCAGAGGTACAAATTGGCAGTTACAAAATAATCACTGGGATGTAAAGTACAACATAGGGACTATAGTTAATAATGTAATAACTTTGTATGGTGTCAGATGAGTACTAGATTTATCACAGGGATCACTTCATATGTTATATAAGTGTCTAACCTTTATGCTGTACACCTGAAACTAATGTAATATTGAGTCAGCTGTAATTGAGAAATGAAAAAAATTAAAAAGAAAAACTATAAGGAGAAAGTAGAAATAATCTATAATTCTGCTTCCTCTCTGTTGAGATTCTTATGCATTGCATTTTAGAATTGTTTTTTTCTCTCACATAGTTGCTATAAGATAGAAATTTTTGTTTTTAAAACAAAAGATACTTATGTTAGAATTTTGTAGATCCTATTTTTCTAATTAATAACATCATGAATATTTATTTCCATATATTAAAATTCTTAGTAAATACCATTTTAAAATGTTGCATACATTAGATAGATTATAAGTTAACCATTCTGTCGCTGATGTGTAGTCTCCAATCAATTTGATTTGAACTTTGAACTACTTGTTTCCTTCCTCTGCAGGATACTTTTAAAGTACATTATGAGAACAACAGCCCTTTCCTTACTATCACCAGCATGACCCGAGTCATTGAGGTCTCTCACTGGGGTAATATTGCTGTGGAAGAAAATGTGGACTTGAAGCACACAGGGGCAGTGCTTAAGGGGCCTTTTTCACGCTATGATTACCAGAGACAGCCAGATAGTGGTATATCCTCCATTCGTTCTTTTAAGGTATGGAGTGTTCAGCTTGGACATTGGTACAAACTATGACTTTATCATATCTGCTCTTTTGTTTACTTTTTGAAAGTAGCTAATAAGGACAGTTGTTTGATATTGATTGGTGTTGAAGTGGTTGAGTGACAGGGTTAGAACTAAGAGAAAGCATCTTTTAAAAATGCCCTCATTTATATAACGAAATTAAGCTGTATGAAAAATATATTACATTTTCTCCCCCTGATTATCAAAATATGCTTCCAGATTTGGAAGCTACAATAACGAATGTCATACGGAGAAAACCCTTCTATAACCCTGCCTGTCACCTAATTATTTAATGTAATTTTTTTCATCTTTAGTTTCCGTCTGTAAAATAACTTTCAGGTTGTTTTTACCTTTGTTCTGTCTTTGGTATTCGTAAAGGTAATTATGATTCTATTTATTATTTACTTGAAGAATTTGACTATCGACCTTTTTGAGAAGCAGATTTGGTATCTAGACATTTCAAATCCTTGGGGAGGAAGTTAGACTTGTTTACAGTTTGGGAACTATTTTAATTGAGTAGTACTATGATGAAGATTTTGGTGCAGAAAGTCTTTTCTGTATTTAGGATTATTTCCTCTGAAAAAGGTATGTTCACTCTCTTGCAGACTATCCTTCCTGCTGCTGCCCAGGATGTTTATTACCGGGATGAGATTGGCAATGTTTCCACCAGCCACCTCCTTATTTTGGATGACTCCGTAGAGATGGAAATCCGGCCTCGTTTCCCTCTTTTTGGAGGGTGGAAGACCCATTACATTGTTGGCTACAACCTCCCAAGCTATGAGTACCTCTATAATTTGGGTCAGTCTTAGTAGTAAGGGAGTGGAAAAGGGAGAGACCATCTTTTTCTTTAATTTCTTGCCAGTCCTAGATGCGGAGAGAGAATATTTTCTTATTCTTAAAAAGGCTGGGATATCGGGAAAAACTTTTCATAGGTGGGTACAAATTGCTATTATAAAAGTAATACATACATAAGGTAATCAGTTCAAACAGTAAAACTCCTTACCTCCAGTTCAATTATAACTGGATGGAACTGCTTAAATTCTTTTATTTTGACATATTTAAAAAATAAAAATGCAGGGAATAATAAACACTTTTATATTATACAGACACCCAGAACTAATGATTATAAACATTTTGTAATTTCTTCAAGTCTTTCTTTTAAAAACTTAAAATACAAAATAGAATATAGAAAATGACACAAATATAGCTCAATAAATTAATGCAAGAGGAACACCAGGTAACCACTACTCAGGTCAACAAATTGAAATTTGCCAGCCCCTCAAAAGGTCCTCCATGTACCTCTTCCTCAGAATAGTAATCAACATCCTGACTTAGTTACCACTTTCTTGAATTTCTCCATAGTTTTAGCACTCAAGAGTACGTCTTTAGGTACTCTAGTTTCACTCTTTTCAAAAAATTTGATTTGTCTTATCAGTCTTTATTTATCCATAGATTCTTCTTCCATCTGTTTCTCTTACAATTTATCTGTTGAAGAACTCGAACCCACTTGTAGTGTAACCTGCAATCTAGATTTTGCTCACTGCTTACCCAGTGCAATTTAGCATATTTCTGTCTTCTATATTTTTTGGAAATTGACAGCTGTCCTGGAGGCTTGATATCAGACTCAGGTTTGATCCCTTTAGCAAGACTCAGGTGATGTGTTCTTTCATTAAAAGGAAGGCAGTGGGTAGAGTCTGGTATCTTTTGTGATGCTCAGTGCCTAGATTCTAGTACTTTACTGGGCACTGCAAATTACTGATTTAATTCTGGCATTTCTTTTTCATTTATTAGGTGCAATTTATAAGGAGACACCTCCCCTTGTCTATTCTTAGGTTTCCCAATATTGCAGTTCATATAGAAAAGACAGGATAAATACTTGGTTCTTTCCCTTATATTTACTAGGTGACCAATTAAGTTTTTCATTTAAAAAAAAAATCATTATGTATGTACAGATTTAAACATTTTATGGGTTTCATTCTTTTGCAATGATTATACTCAGTGGTGCTCAGATTCTCCCATTTTTAGCCACTGAGCACTTTTTCAGGTTAAGTTCCTGAGTTGTTTTGACATGACACTAGTAAGTCTGTTAGCTTCCTTGCTGTCTTATAAAAAGACATTCCTGGCTCAACTTGTATATTTTCTGTCCCAGACCTGGAATCAGCCATTTCTCGTTGATGCTCTAGTTTCTTCTAGAGATAAAAAGGTATTTGAAGACCAAAATCTGAGAACTGGGAATACTCATTGTTCTTAGATTGGTTAATTCCTAGGCCTTTTCAGTTGACAGAACTAGGTGTGTATGTATTATCTGTATATATTAAACATTTATGAATTCATGCAGTTACTTATTGTATGACCTATAGAGATTTTGCTTTTATGTTTTATCTATACCTAATTCCATATTGAGAATCCTAATTGTGAAGGACATAGGATGATAGAATTAGAATATTTCATAATTAGTCATTTGTTTTATCCCACACCTAATACACAGCAGTCAATAAAAGTGGTCATACTGCCTGGCTGGTGTGGCTCAGCTGTTGAACATCGACCTATGATCTAGGAGATTGAGGTTTGATTCCTAGTCAGGGTACATGCCCAGATTGCTTGCAGGAGGCAGGTGATCAGTGACACTCTCATAATTGATGTTTCGATCTCTCTTTCTCCCTCTCCCTTCCTCTCTCTTTGAAACCAATAAAAAATATATATATAAAAAAAAGTCTTACTACCTCTTCCAATATGATTACTGAAAAGAGTTAATTCTTTTTGCATATCCTTTTTTTTCTCTATAGTCCCCCCCCTTTTTAGAAAATATGTTTTTATTGATTTTAGAAGAGAGGGAGAGGGGAAGAGAGATAGAAACATCAATGATGAGAGAGAATCATTGATTGCCTGCCTCCTACATGCCCCCTACTGGGGGTCGAGCCCAGAACCCTGGCATGTGCCCTGAGTGGGAATCGAACCCATAATCTCTTGGTGTGTGGGGTGACACTCCAACCAACTGAGTCACCTGGCCAGGGCTACTTTCTCCTTTTTAATTTGAGTCTTAGTTCTACAGATAATTATATTTAATGCTCACCATCAGTCCTTACGTTATCAATACCATTAGTAATTTTGATGATCTGGAGTTCATTCTCTAGTAGATGTTGCAGGAAGGGCTTGGGATGAGTTTTTACAGGTTGATAGCAGGTTGTGCCTTTTGTGCTTAAAAGTCACTTTTGCTGAATATGAAATCCTTGGCTTACATCTCTTTCCTTGAGTATCTTAAATATGTTACTTCATTTTCTTTTTTGGGGGGCATAAAGTGTTTTGGTCAAGATCTGATAATAATTTTATTTTTTTCTCTCTTATAAGTCACTTGTTTTTTTTTATCTAGATGCTGAAGATTTTTTTCTTTCTTTAAAATATAATACTTTTACTAGAACATGGCAGTGGTTGCTCTCCTTGAGTATGCATTATGGTCTTTCAACTTAGGATTTCAAACTTTTTGTAAGTTTTCTCCAGTGGGAGTTGAATCTTTGCCTGTCTTCAATATTTGGCACTTTCTCTTGAACCTTTTCTTCATTTAAAACTTTTTTTTCTTTTTATCTTTTTATCCTAAGGCATTATCTGTTGATTCACTCACATTCCTTCTAGCTTAGCCTTCATTTCTAAAACGATTTTTTCTTTTATTTCTAAATTTTTTCCTGATTTCTGAAGCTTTTCTGAATTTCTATACATGTGATTTATATTGCTTTTTCATGACTTGTGTCATTTTTATAATACCTTTAGCTTCTGGTGTGCTCTCATTTTTTCTAGGATGTTTTTTGTAATTATTTTTAATTACATTTGACATTGTAAGTTTTTAAAATATAACAATCTAAAAGGGGGAGTCTTATACTTTTCTATTGCTCATTTTTAACATTTCTAATGTGAACTTTTAGGAGGAATAATTGTAACTGCCCAATTCTTTGTTGTTTTAGTGTAGTATTAAAAAATACGGTGGCTTGTTTTCTGAGCTTTCTCTGGCTTCGTTTTCCTGTGTCTCTGTTGTCCTCATTATGCTTGATTTTGATTCTGCTCCAGCAGTTTTTCCTTAGTGGATAGGATACTGTCCGGGAACAGGAGCTCTGATGGGCTTTTCAAAATTCTCAGGGACTAGACTGCTCTAGACTTAGAGATCTGTGGGCCCATTTTACTCACCCACTGTGCAGGGTGTAGGACTCCTGAGTTTTAGATGCTCTTCTCCAGTTGGCCTGCCATGCTCTCAAGTGAACACTATTGTCTATCAGGGGGTCTTCTTTTCTCAGGTTTATCACTTGCCCTTTTGCCCCTTCTTTATCATTCACAGACACTAATACTGTGTAGGTCTTAGGGCTGTTGGTGTTTTGTGGATCACACTCCCTTATATTTTGGGGATTGTGGAGATGCCTTGTTACCTAGTTTTGTTATGAGTATGGTCCATGGTTTTTTAAATTTTGTTATCTAGTTGCTCTGTCTTTATGTGGAAATTGGGGAAGACCCAAAATCTTTGCTGCCACCACCACCTCTGTCTTCCAGATTCTCCTAGTCCATTAACTGTAGATAGCATCTTTACTTCTCTCTGTGTAAGATGGGAGTGTTCATACCCTGTAGTCCCCTCTAGCTCCTGCCCTATTTTCTCAGTTTTTCACATCATTGCACATATTTGCTTGATCCTTCAGGTGACCAGTATGCACTGAAGATGAGGTTTGTGGACCATGTTTTTGATGAGCAAGTGATAGATTCTCTGACTGTGAAGATCATCTTGCCTGAAGGAGCCAGGTGAGTATGATTGTTCCTTTACTCTCTTCCCATTTCTCTGATGGGAAATCTGTGTTGAGGGGGCACAGAGTAAGTGCTCAGTATATAGCTTTGAGAATCCTGTAGGGACTGGAGTTTAAATAGAAAATTTAGATTCAGATGCGGGAACAAGATTTATATATGAAATATTCCACCTGCCCTTGGCATGAGTGACAAACACTTTTTTGTAGGTTTTTTGTCATTTTGCTCTTGATTCATATTAAAGGGAAACATCTACTTGGCCTCTCTTGGGTTACTTGTCTACTCTGATCCTCAGAAGAAGAGGCACCTTGATTATTTTTCCTGTGGAGGCCATTCAGTGGGGAGTGGCTAGTTCCTCCAAGTAAAATAGAGTGCTGTTGACTAGGAGAAGGGAGAATGAGTCTGTGCAGGCAAAAGCAGGACATGTCCACTACACCCTAGAACAAATTTTCAGTCATGTGAAGAGACAGAACATTTGGAGGAACTTTTCAGTGGCCTCTTCAAGTCCCTGAGAGGCTCTCCTTGGGTAGAATGCACATAAAGTTCTGTGAGCTGTGTGACTCCAAGGGGTGGGCCAGTACTGGTGAGTCCTTATGAGTGCAGGTTTCAGGGTGACAGACAGTTTGCCTCAGCAGAAGAATGGTCTCATCCTCAGGACTTTTTGGCATTGGGTCAGCTGTCTCAGGTGGTGTTCCCTGGTGCTGGAAGGGGAGCAGAGTGGAGTGTGAACTTAGTGACCCTGAACAGCCCCTGTGTGAGCCTTGGAACTTTCCAACCCTAAATAAACCTAGCTAGTCAGTGCAGTTTGTCTGAGGCTATATTTTATTCCTGTCTGCCTCCAGGAACATCCAAGTTGACAGTCCCTATGAAATCAGCCGTGCCCCAGATGAGCTGCACTACACCTACCTGGACACATTTGGCCGCCCTGTGATTGTTGCCTACAAAAAAAATCTGGTAGAACAGCACATTCAGGACATCGTGGTACGTGACCCCACTCTTATGCCCCCCTGGGTGCGGGGGGCCAGGTCTTACCCATCTTTTCCTACTTGGACTGGAGCGGTTTGAACACAGCATCCTCTGGGGGTAGGGCTGGGCAGATGGGGTGGGGCAGCGTGGATGATTGTTGGCTTGGTGAAGCTCCTTTGGCCCCCAGGTTTCTGAGTCCATGTAGGCCTATCAAAGCCCATAATTTTGGTTCTCCCCCCAGGTACACTACACATTCAACAAGGTGCTCATGCTGCAGGAGCCCCTGCTGGTAGTGGCCGCTTTCTACATCTTGTTCTTCACAGTCATCATCTACGTCAGGCTGGACTTTTCTATCACAAAGGTACTCTTGCGTCTTTCTTCTTTTCATTTTGTCATTTTGCACCCTTGATAATGTGTTTCACCAGCTTTACTGAGCACTGGTTGTCACAATAGCCGAAGGCAGAACCCTATTGCACAGAAGACTCTTTCCTGCCTGTGGCTTCTGCCAGTCCTTTCTGTAAAGATACCTTGTTTTTGTTGCTGTGATTACAGAGCATGCACAGGTTGCTAATGGTGGGTGAGTACTTTGGGAACAGGGCAACAGGCATAGTGTGTGCTTTTGGTGGTGGGACCTGAGGTCCTGAAAAGGCTATCCTGAGAAGGTGACAGGCAGAAAAGGTGGGGAAGGGCACTTAGCCAGAGGGAACAATTCGTGGGACAGCAGGAAGGGCTTCATGGGACCTGTGGGTAGCAGTAGTGTACACGTGAGCAAAAATGTTGATCCAGCTGGTTCCAGAGACCAGTGAGGCTGCCCAAGGGTCAAGGTGGTACAGCTGGGACTGCTGCTAGCAAACCTTGTCATGCAAAAGGGGCTGAGTCTAGGTTTTATTATGAAAGTGCCCTATTTTTTAAGCTATAAAAATTGCTTGTGTTCTATTGATTTAAAAAAAAATTCCACATTTATAGAAACTTTGCAAGAAAGATAAACATAACTCTTGTATACTCATCACCTAGACATAGCATTCGGCCTCTCTCTGTTCATAATTATTTTTCCTGAACCATTTGAGAAGTTTGCAGACATTTGTGTTCCTTTACTCTTGAATTCTTAAGTGTGTATGCAGCCAGAGAACAAGGGTATTTTCTTACATAACCACGATGCAATGATCAAATTCAGGAAGTGTAATGTTATACTATTCACCAACATGCAGTCCACGTTCAGATGTTGCTGATTACCCCAGTGATAACTTTTATAGCAATTATTTTTCATACTCCAGAATCCAATTGAGTATCATGCAGTTCATTTACTTATCAGACTTCCTTAGTCTCCTTTAATTTGGAGTGGTTCCTTAGCCTTTCTTTATCTTTAATGACCTTGACATATTTGAAGTTTAGAGACATTTTGAAGTTTGTAGACTGCCCCTTAGTTTATGTTTATCTTATATTTCTCCCTTATGAAATTCAGATTATGCATTTTTGGCAAGCATACTATAAAGTGATGCTGCATTTGCAGTACACCACATCAGGAGGTCCTAGTGTTGGTGATATTAACTCTAATTACTTGCCTAAGTTGATGTCTGCCTGGTTTCTTCACTGTAAAATTATTTTTCTCTTTTTACTTAATCTGTTTCAGGCCATATAAATATATTCGTATACATTCACCCATTCATTGTAGCATTTGTTATTGATTCTTGTCTGTATGTTTTTTAGTATGGAGGTTGAAAAACTATGATTCCTTTTACATTATTAGTTGGCATTCTGTAAAGAAAGGCATTTCTTTTTGGTTGATTGGTTATATTTTGGATTCATGGGTTTTTATTGTGTTCCATGGATTATTGTCCACTGGTGCTATTTATTTCGATCCTCAAATTGTCCTAGATTTGACTTTTTAACATCATCATCTTTTTTTTGAGCACTTCCTTATTGTTGGTACAATAACACATTTTAGACATATCTTGTCTTCCCTCCAAGGAGCACTGGTTTCTTTTAGTGCAGAATGGTACCTTGAGACCGTGATCTTTGAGTTAGGTGTGATCATTGCTTTTGGACTATAGCTCTTTCTAAGCCTTTTCAACAGATAGAGCTAGGAGATAAATATATGTGCTGTTTAAAATATGAATTAATACTGATGTCTTCAATTCCAATCTAACAACACAGGGTTCTTCCCTGTCTCCCTTTATGCTGTTTTTTCCCTTTCCTGAATTCCCTTCAACATCCGTATATTTATTTATTTGCTGAATTCTATAAACACACAAAATAGTTTCAGAATTGGTACTCATACCACTATAAACAGCAAACCTACCAGGTAGAATCCAAGATTTGTGTGCAGTTCTTTTAGTCTTTAGACTGAGAATATAATTGTCAAAGCACTGTGTTCCCAAGGTAGTTGGCTTGGTTCTTTTTTCCTGTGTTATTCATCTGAAATATAGTTAAGTTCATTTATTTCTGTTTGAATTTTATTCTAGTTTTCCTTCCATCGTTAATATTTAATTTTGGTTATGAATTTGTAAAACATTGAAAAGTTCTAAATTTAGAACTTGAAAAGGTTACTGATTCCTCCACCCTTTCCTACCCTGCCTTGTAGGTAACCAATTTCATCAGTCCTGGGATATCCTTTCTGATTTATTTTGCAAAAATAAGCAAATACTTTAATTTTTATTTTCTTACACAAGAGATAGCAATAGTATATATTGTTTGTACTTTTCCTTTTTCACTTAACAAATATATCCTGAGCCCGGCCGGGCGTGGCTCAGCGGTTGAGCGTCGACCTAGGATCCAGGCGATTGGGGTTCGATTCCCTGTCAGGGCACATGCCTGGGTTGCGGGCTCAATCAATGGCTCTCTCATCATTGATGTTTCTATCTTTCCCTCTCCCTTCCTCTTTCTGAAATCAATAAAGATATATTTAAAAAAAAAAAAAAAATTAAAAGAAACAACCAAAAAAAATACCAAATATATCCTGAAAATCACCCATATCAGTTTATAGAGATCTTTCTCATTACTTTGTTGTTGTTGTTGTTGCAGAATTCTTCATTATATGGATTGGTCGTAGTTATTCAACCAATTTCCTATGTATACATCTACCTATTTTATTTTATTTTGTAAAAAATACGTTTTTATTTATTATTATTTTTTAATCCTCACCCGAGGATGTTTTTCCCATTGCTTTTCAGAGAGAGAGAGGAAGGGGTAGGGGAGAGGGAGAGAGAGAAACTTCGATGTGAGAGAGACACATAAATTGGTTGCATCTCTCATGTGCCTTGACCAGGGCTGGGGATTGAGCCTGCAACTGGAATGTGTGCCCTTGGCCAAAACCAAACCTGGGAGCTTTCAGTCCATGGGCCAATGCTCTAACCACTGAGCAAAACTGGCTAGGGCTAAAAATATGTTTTTATAGATTTTAGAGAGAGAGGAAGGGGGAGAGGCTGGCTGCTGCACACCCCCTACTGGGGATCAAACTCATAGCCTGGGCATATGCCTTGACTAGGAATTGAACTGGTGACGTCTTGGGCCTTGGGATGACACTAAACCAACTGAATCATACCAGCCAGGGCAACATCTGTCTGTTTTAAAGTTTTGATAGTACATTGAGAAAAAACTAATTATGGGCCAAATCTACTATCTGTAGACTAGATTCAGTCTTTGAACTATAAAACTAGGACTTCTGTAGTAGACACCTAGTGAGAGATGATTCTGGAAGGTCTATAGGGCCTCATCTAAAGGGCCTTCAGTGGTAGGATGAGGAGTTTGGGTTTCTCCTTTAGGCCCTGGGAAACCCTTTAAGTTTTTAAGGAGAGACACATAATGAACATCCTGGAAGCCTTCCCTGACCTGAGCTGAGATTTCTCTTTCCTCAGCACCTTATCCCTTCCATGGTGCACTCTGGCATTAGTACCCCTTTCACATCCGTCTGTCTGCCCTGCTGGACTTTGAAGTGAACATCTGTTTCATCTTCATGTCCCCAGTCTTACCCGTTGCTGAACTGGCCCAGATTCATTGTTAGTATGGGTTTGATTCTCTGACTTTCCAAGAAGATGATGGCTTTTTTTGTTTGCATAGCTGGTGGTGGGTGATCTTTGGGAGGTGAAAGAGTGGGCTCAGACCTAGTTTCGTCTCACACAGTGTCTCTCTTTCAGGATCCAGCCGCAGAAGCCAGGATGAAGGTGGCCTGCATCACAGAGCAGGTCTTGACCCTGGTTAATAAGAGAATAGGTCTCTACCGTCACTTTGATGAGACTGTCAATAGGTATAAGCAGTCCCGGGATGTGTCCACCCTCAACAGTGGCAAGAAGAGCCTGGAGACAGAGCACAAGGCCTTGACCAGTGAGATTGCACTGCTGCAGTCCAGGCTGAAGACAGAGGGCTCTGACTTGTGTGACAAAGTAAGTGTCTGCTAACACCGAGTCACTTGGCTCGTTGCCTACCACACCCCACTTTCGGGGGCTGTACCCAAGTGTCTAATATGGCTGCTGTGCCTGGGTCAGACACCAGGCAGCTCTTGCTCACTGCTGGCTTGTGGAGTGGTAACGTAACCATTCGTAGACTTGTGGCATGATGCCAACCCTTGTGGAACAAGAAGTTTTGGTGTCTTGGATATGAGTTGGGTTTGGAGAAACGTCTGCTAGCTTCTGTAGCGCTGCCTGTCTACACGGCCAGTATTGAGAGTAGCTACTTCCTCTGCTGGGAGCCAGGTTGAATAAGGTAAGACAGGAGAGTGGGGTTGAATCCAGGCTCTGATTCAGACTTTATAGACGTAGGCGAGGCAAGTTATCTCACTTTCATACCTCAGTTGCCTTATGTGTAAACTGAGGATGCTCTTAGTACTTACCTCATAGTGGTTGTGAGTGTGAAATGAGTTAGTGCATATAACGTGCTAAGAATCCTGCCTGGGACATGATGTGTGAGTTCTTGTGACCTGTAAATGAGATTGGAATCTCCCTTCCCCTGAAGGTGTCCCTCAGAGTTCCTGACCGCCCTCTCCATGTGCCACACCCCAGCACTCCCTCTCCTTACCCTGTGCTGTTTTCTTTAAAGCACCTACCGTTTTCTGAAACTGTTTGTTCATGTGCTTAAGTATTTATAATCTGTCAGCTTTGTCAGGGGCAGATGCCTTATCTGTCTTCAGTGCTATTTTCCAGAACCTAGAATCATGCCTAACACTATGGCTCACTAAATATTTGTTGAATGTTGAGTGAATGTGACTATAAAAGTCCTCAGCCTGACACTGAGTCAGTGATAACATGGGAGTCATTCAGTCCCGCTGCCATATCCCTGCCATTAGTCTTTTGTCTATATGAATTCCTGCACCTAATTTGATAAACTGAAGGGAAGAGAATGAACATTCCTGGAGTACCTACTGTGTGCCTGGCACCATGTTAGGTAGTTTCACATATTTTCAATTCTCACAATCCTCCTCTATAGCTAAGGCCCAGGGATGGTGGAGGGGCTTGTTCACAAGGGTCAGAGCTTGAAGGAACAGGGTTGGTAAGGGGGTGAAGCTGGTATTTGTCGCCAAGCCTGTTTCCCTTCACAACCAGGCCCTCTGGCTTGGGAGTTCTGGAATCTGTAGGCATGGGAGGTGGTGGGCCTTGCTGAATGAGGGTGAGAGAACCACTTTCAAGCCCTGCCCTGCTCTTGCTTCGGCCAGGTGAGCGAAATGCAGAAACTGGATGCACAGGTCAAGGAGCTGGTGCTGAAGTCGGCAGTGGAAGCTGAGCGGCTGGTTGCTGGCAAGCTCAAGAAAGACACGTACATCGAGAATGAAAAGCTCATCTTAGGAAAGCGACAGGAGCTGGTCACTAAGATCGACCACATCCTGGATGCTCTGTAGCCCCTGCCAGTTGTCTACTGGGTGGGCTCAGGGTGCTGCACTTACAGATGGCAGGTGTGTGTGTGTGTGTGTGTG